CATGTTTAATAGTTTTACACATGTGTAATAAAGATAATAGGATAGGGAAAGGTTAATTAAAGTAAACATTAATAGACATTTAATACATTTATTCATTATATAGGAAATTTTCACAATCATTATAAAAATCTTTCAATGTACAATCATTGTCAACTTCATCATTATTTTCTATATTATTTCGTAGTACATTCGATGGTTGTATCAACCAATTTCGTAGATTACATACATTTTTAACAGCGCAATTGCTAAAGCTACGTGTGTGATTTGTACATGTAGATGAACTGTCTACACTTAAACTTTTTAGCGACGGACATTTAAAATCATCTAAATTAAACACATTCAATGTATATTTTTCGAACCATTTTTGTTTTTCTAAACCTTTTACATAAACGGTAGGTGTACCTATTAGTACTTCTTTTATTATAGGTTGTAATTCTTCATAACATACGTCACCAGCAGCCCAATCGATACCATGATAATTATTTGTAAGCCATCGATTCTCACATTTGTATCTTGCAGGCAATCGACTCCAGGCATATGGCGGCTCGAAGAGGTAGACCAATGGATGAGCATCTTGTTGAAGTGGTAGAATCGCCAACTCTTTGATGACAAACTCGTTGTATGGTCTCTTGAAGCACTGAATATCTACGACGTACGCCATGGTATCTGAAATAGAATAATGGCTCAAGCCTTAGAGAGACGCTCTCTTTATAGCCTTTCCCCCACCACTCCAAATACCCCCACTACCGATGTCGTGTACGATTGGTCATTATTTCTACCAATCACGTTACTTTTTTAACAACGCCGCTGATTGGTGTATACTGTATAATGCGGTCGTGAATTATAAGGCAATATGCAGCTGTATTGGCTGGAAAATTTTCACTTGCTTCAAATTCCAATCGCACATCTACAGATGCTTGTTTTAGAAATTCGTTTTGTTTTGAGCAATCAATAACAGCCAATGGTGCATAATCTTTAAAGTTATTTCTAGTTAATAAAGGTTCAGATTCTTTTCCATAGTAGGACGGTTGAAAATTACAATACATTTCATATAATATGGAAAATTTGTTTTGAGTAAAATTTAAATTTAAATTTCCATAAGGATAGTACTGTGAGTTTAAGAAAAGTTTAACATTGAGAAGATTGCAGGTATCAAATAAATTTGCATACCTTTCTTGATCTTCTTTTCGATTTGTTTGAAAACCAAGAATAACATATCGAGGTTTTTCAACTTGTGTTGAAGTTTTTACAGTCCACACATGCTTTTGAGTGGCAGGAATCATAGGATATTCATACAAATCCCATGATCTAAAACTCATTGTTATAAATGAGTCTTTTTCAATGAATTTCAATAATTCAATTTTTTGTCGATCATTTACCATTAAATATGGAATCAACCATTCAACTTTATTAATAATAATTTTAAATTCTTCACGCTCTGCTGCTTCAATGTTTACTACAGCATTTAGATCAGTACGAGATCTTGTTAAAATAAGTTCATGTTTTGCATTTACAACAATCTTTCGATAGTCTTCAGCAAAACCAATAATCATACTTAGTGGAATATTTACATCAAAATATCCAGCATCATTTGTTACTCTGCTATCATCATCATCATAAGGTAGATAACCAGCATTTTCAGAGTAAATCATTTGATTAGGTGTTTGAGAAATTATATTTTTCATTGTGGTTGTAATACCAACATTTTTGGAGCGATCAATTTCAACACCATTTAATTCATAACGAATCTCATTAAACAGGTAGGAAATACCATTGCTAATTAACTTTGTATTAGTTACAAGCGTATTGTTAGGCTTAACAATTCTTCCAGTGACGTGTAGAGTACTTTTAGAGGGAAGAATGTACAAGTCTTGATGTTGAACTGCAATTCGAATCTCGTCACTGTTATTAAATGCTGATGACACGTATGGTTGATGTGCATGAATCTCATAGTGTGCCACAGAATTATCAAATTTTACTGGACTTAGAATGTTTAAAATCTCTTCCATTTTTGTTACAACAACAAATAAAAAGTATGTGAAAAATTAATTTTTTCCCTTGTTTTCTTGATAAACTCTTAGGCCGAGCTGCTTCAGAAATAGTATGTTCTGAGATGTTAGTCTCTTGCGAACTGATTGAGGAATGAATGACTTCTGACATGGTAACTCATTTATATAGCTTCTACCAGTTTTTCTATGAAATACAATTCCCATTACGTTGATTTAACGTGTAATCGAATTGTTATAGTTTCACCTCTAAAATTTATTAAATCTCCGTCTTGATCAACGATTCTTATTTGAATATTATGTATTGTCTTCACGGCGATTGGAAGGTAAATGACGTGAGATGGAACTTCCACAATCTTATATCCAGCTGGTACAATTGGAAAAAATTCGTGAATTGTGTGTACCTTTTTATTATTTATGTATGCACCAGTAGTAATGTTACATTCAATTCTGATAGCATTTACCTTAAGAATGGCTACTGGTACATCTGACGTATGAGGTATATTAGCTGTCAATATTCGTGGAGTAAATCCTAATAATTTACCAATTGAATCGTTTTGTTCAAAACTCACTTCAAGGCTGCTTGTTATTTCACTACGTAAAGTATTATTGTTAGGTTTGATTCTTACAATTTCAGATCCATTTTCAATAGAGTTTTGAATATATTTTTCAATATCTTCAATTTCATAGCTTCCAGGGGGTATAGTAATCACTTTATCACCAATATAAAATTTATTTTTACCTTGATCAATATTAGGAATTGAATTGAAGGTTAGTAATTCAACTAAGCCAAGTACATAATTTTTGTTAGGTAATAATTCTATCGGAGGAAAATATTCTGCCTCCAGGACAGATGAATTGCCTGAGATAGTCAGAGTAAAAGATTCTTCCATGTTGATGACTTTTTATAAACTGATTAGGTGGAATGACTTACAATCACTTATATAGAATATATTTTTGAGTTATTTCAAGCTGTCCACATAAGAATTTTAGACATAAATGACCACAATTAAAACTATTATAATCTTGATAATTTTGATGATTATACTGTATTAAAGTATTGTAACCTAAGTAATTGACAAGTTCATAGGGTGGTTGAAGATTTCCAAAACTATCAAAGTATACTGCTTTATTATTAACTTTTTTATATGCAACCCAATGAGTTCCAGAACCATCTTTATCATCTAAATTAATAATGGCGGATTCATTTTTTCGAGGACCACTTATAGGTAGTTCATTTCGCATAAAAACTCCTCGAAAATGGGAAATTTTCATTTCTTTAGCATATTTAAGTAAATCTAGATCTGCAAGTGCTCGTTGAGGCAGCTTTAAACTTTTTTTTTTATACATCGCCTCTTAATACCTTGTCCTTTAACGTATGGTTTCAAATGAAGTCCCAACCCTTGTCGGTATGGTTTTAAATGTAGACCTTTGCCAAGTGCCACTGCTTCCAACTCTCTATTATGACGCTGAGCTTCCTTCAACTGCTCTTTTGCTGCACTTGCATCATTAACAGCTTTTGCTACACCAGCAGCTCCCCCAGTAAGCGCTCCAAGTGCACTTAGACCAGCAAAAATTGGAATTAATGGTAACAGACCACCAACTTTTGATGGAACAGGTAGAATTCGAGGTGTTAAAACCTTTTCTCTACCACCTGCTTTCCTTACAGCTTTTCGAGCTGTTTCAATAGCTGACTTTATTGTTGATCGAGCATCATTACCAGGAATTATTGATTTTCTTGCAGCATCCACAATTTTTCTAAGATTTACTCGTTTTTTTGATTTTGTCTTCTTTACTCGTTTCTTTGACTTTGTCTTCTTCTTTACTCCCATTCCAAATTTTGATTTTGCTTTCATAGCGTTTGTTATTGCGTAAGCTGCAGCTCTTTCACTATATTGTGCGTCTGGAGCAAATACACGTTGCCACGCTTTGTCAGCTAATACTCTATCAGCAGCGTTTCTTTCTTCAACGTTTTCTCGATTTTTCGAGTAAGCAATATCGTGCTCTTTACAAGCGGCGTCTAATGGATTAACACCTGGATCACCTCGGTCTAGACGTTTTGCTAACTTTGTGCCTGGTCCACAATATTGATAACCTGGCAAATGTAATTCAAATGGTAACTTGTTTATAAGTTTATTAATTAACCCTTTTCCTTGAGAGCGATGATGTATAATCATACCTTACTCTGTGAAAGTTAAAATTAGAATGACTTGTGAGCTATATAAGCGCTGTATTTATACCTTTAGCGGCAGTCTAAATCAGGATGCGGTTCAAGGAACAACTTCACAAGCTGCCAGTCGTCAATCTAGACTCGATTGTTGAACAACAAGAGAAGAAAGTGAAGCGTCATGGTAGTTTATTTTCCGGTAGTATTCGAGCTATTTTTTGTGGACCATCAAATTGTGGAAAGACAAATGTACTCCTTTCTTTAATTTTACATCCTAATGGTCTTAGATTTGATAATATTTACTTATACTCAAAGTCTTTACATCAACCCAAGTATAAATTCTTGGAACAAGTTGTTAATAATGTTAAAGGAGTAGAGTATTTACCATTTAGTGAGCATGAAGAAGTCATTACTCCTAAAGATGCAAAACGAAATTCAATATTTATATTTGATGATATTGCTTGCGAGAAGCAAGATAATGTAAGGGCATTCTTTTGCATGGGTAGACATGTTGATGTTGATTCTTTTTATCTTTGTCAAACATATGCCCGCGTTCCTAAACATTTGGTACGTGATAATGTTAATTTACTAGTTCTTTTTCGTCAAGATGAGAAAAATTTAAGGCATGTTTATGATGATCATGTTAATACTGACATGACATTTAATCAATTTCGAGAACTATGTTCAACATGTTGGAATTCAGACAAATATGGATTTGTAGTAATTGATAAGGATTCTGATTTAAATGATGGAAGGTATAGAAAAGGATTTGATAGCTTTGTAACACTATAAATATAGGATCATCCCTAAAATATTGTTAGTTCAATATGAAACCTTGTAATAATAACATGTTTCATAAAGAAAAAGAATATCTTCATCAAATTGCTAAAGCTAGCGAGGCAATTAGGCGAAAACATCGTATGTTAAAATTAGGAAAAGAAGAAGCTGAAAATGTGCTGACTGAAACTTTTAAACCGATAGTTCAACCCTTACAAAAAATTATTAACTTGACAGACACTGAACATGAAAATATCAAGATTGAAAAGAAAGAGCAGAAGATGGATGATAGCATATACTTTGAAAGTGAAACTGAAAAATCTCCAGATGATGATAAAATAAGTAATAAATTTCTATACTTATTAAATCATAATAGAAAGCAATGTTTAGATTCAACATACGGCATACGTAAGCTAAGTGATGGATCACTTATGATTGGTGATTCACCAATAACTCTTGAAGATCAGCATGTAAAAATTGGTAATAAACAATATCTTCAAACGCTTGGATTACTTGAACTTTTATTTAAAAGTAAACCTACTACATCGCTTATAAGTGAAGATGATGAAAGAAACTATAAAGAGATTCTGATTGCTACTAATGCACACAAAAAGAAGTATAGTTCCTCTGAATCTATACGTACGGATAAGAGTTACAAGTATTTGAATTTTATATCTCAATTCTTCCCTCGAACACCTACCAAACGGTCATCTGTAAGCGGTAGTTCATTACCTAAATTTATGATTACAAACAAAAATTTTCAACGAGAATATATCTATTGGGATGATCCAAATGAGTTGGTTGACCGTCTTAGACTATTAATGGCTTCTCAAGCTGCTGGAAATCCTAGTCACAATAATGAAATCATGTCTATCATTGAGGAACTACGTGAAGCTAAAATTATATATTAAGATGTGTTTTAGCAAATATCATTCATTTCAACAATGAGCATTGACGTGTTCGGACATCCTCTCAATCAAAGAGGAACAGCAAGACGAGGGCCTCCTGGAGTTGGTTTAAACTTAATTCTCAAGGTAACTTTGACGTTGAAGGAAGAAAACTCTCTAATCTTGCTAACGCTGAAGAAGAAAACGACGCTGTCAATTTAAAACTTGTACGACATATGATAAAACACGAAGTGCGTTTATTGTATGAAGCTAGTGCCTCACTTAGATCAGAGGTGGACAATAACAACTTATTTCTAAAAGTTCTTGAAGACTCTATTACAGAAAAAATAAAAAATTTTGAAAAAGATATAAATCAAGACTTATCTTATCGAACAGCTGAAATTATTAGTGAATTGGATACTCGCTTAAGTGCTCTCGAGAATGAACAACAAAAAATTAACAGTAGTGAATGAACTTCATACCCAGGCTAGAAAAAATTATCCTCGACGGCGAGTTGAAATGCGTGATATTGATGAGACATGGCAAGCAGATTTAGTAGAAATGATACCTTATTCAAGAATAAATAAAGGTTTCAAGTATTTACTAACAGTTATAGACATATTTTCGAAATATGCTTGGGCTGTTCCAGTAAAAAGTAAAAATGGAAAAGATGTTTCTCATGCAATGCAATCTATATTTGCTAAAAAACGCATACCAAAAAACTTGCATAGTGACAAAGGAAAAGAATTCTATAACTCACAATTTGAAGCATTAATGAAAAAGCATAAAATAAATTTTTACTCAACATACAGTAATATGAAAGCTTCCATTGTTGAACGGTTTAATCGAACACTAAAAAGAAAAATGTGGATGCAATTTAGTTTACGAGGAAATTACAAGTGGTATGATATATTGCCTACTCTTATTTCCAACTACAATAATACAAAACATAGAACAATTGGAATGAAGCCTAAAGATGTTACTTCAGAAGACGTTGAAATTTTAAAAGAAAGGATCTCTAAACTGAGAAAAATTCCTTTAAGACGACCAAAGTATAAAATTGGTGATAAAGTTCGAGTAAGCAAATATAAAAACGTTTTCGAGAAAGGATATACACCCAATTGGACAACAGAAATATTCACCGTGGATCAAGTTGTATCAACTCAACCAGTGACTTACAAGCTCAAGGATTACCAGGATCAACCCATCAGCGGAGGATTTTATGAAGAGGAACTTCTTAAAGTAAAATATTCAGATATTTATCTTGTGGAAAAATTCTCAAGACACGTGGAAACAAAGTTCTTGTCAAATGGCTTGGCTTTGATAATTCTCACAATACGTGGGAAGATAAAGCAAATGTATAATCTATTATTCGCAATCGTCCCTAGTAACTTAACGCAAATGTCAATCAACCAGCAAATCAATCAAAGATTAATGTTAGCGTAGAACCTCTCTATAATCAAAACTACTTCCAACAACAGACCTTTACACTGCCAGTGCCAAATTAATTAACATTAAATCAATAATGAATCAATAATGAATCAACAATGAATCAATAATGAATCAACCATGAATCAATAATGAATCAATAATGAATCAACAATGAATCAATAATGAATCAACAATGAATCAATAATGAATCAATAATGAATCAATAATGAATCAATAATGAATCAACAATGAATCAATAATGAATCAACAATGAATCAACAATGAATCAATAATGAATCAAATCAGTTGGCACTGGCATTGTGAAGGTCTGTTGTTGGAAGTAATTTTGATTTATAAGAGATTCTACGCTAACATTAATCTTTGATTGCTTTGCTGGCTGATTGGCATTTGCGTTAAGTTACTAGGGGCGATTTGCACATTTAAATTAATATAAGTTTTAATCATATGTTATTATGTATATATGGAAGGATTTTTTAAATAAAAACACATGGAAATTGTATATATAATTGCATTATTTATTAAACAAACTTTTATTTTTTTACAATCATGTTTTACAAAATCATTCGTCGATTTTAGGGATCGCATAATGTCCCCACGGTAGAGTGTCGGTACTCCCCGGTAACAAATACCGTTTGTCGTCTTGCGGACTTAAAGCTACTTTAATTTGTTTTACAGTCTCGAGGTTATGTAGTCGCGATCTTATATTATACTGTGTTCGAGTTTGAATGTCAAAATCTCGCAGACATTTTACATAATCATCAAAGTGAATCGATTTTTTCACAACGCCGGATTTAATGCCTTTAGCTTTTTTAATAAAATCTTTACCTTCAACCCGTACGCTGTACATCTTACTCCGCAAGCCAACAAATTCGGTAACGATCTTGCCGTTACATTCGTCTTTCATTAGACCGAGAATCTTTTTGTTGGCTTGCGGAATGCCGTACACGTTGTTTGCGGGATAGTCTGACGTATCGAACTTTTGGATGTCATTTTTCATATCATTGTAGACATCTTTACATTTAATTTCATAGATTAGACTGTCTGTATCGGTATACATCAGTTTACAATTGTCGCCGTATTTTTTTAACATATACCCGTAGTGAAAATCGTAGATTAGCGTTTTGGAAACATCGAGCACACTTAACCCCACATAGATTGTTTGTTGAGTAGTACCTCGGTTTTACGCAGTTCAATGGCAACCAGATTTTCGTCGAATATTGCTCGACTATGGAAATTGGGGCGAGAAATAAGGGCTTCAGCTCCATAGCGGCCAAACCATTGGGTGACAAGCTTAATGTCGACATGTTACGGACATTTTCCATTGTTTTACCGTATACCGCATTGTTCATGAGCTTGAACAAATTTTTCTCGAACTCATTCTTGGCGTTGGTTCGCATCATCGTATTATAGTCTATATATGGTTTAAGCCATGTTGATTGCTTAAACTGTAAGACTCGATGAATTTTAACAAGCTTAATGCCGTTGGCGACAACTTGTTTTAAAGTGCGGTAGTGGATCACATATTTTTCTTTTGGTTGGAGAGTTGTTAATAATTTCTCCTGTTTCGAGAGGGGTGGTTTCGCATTTTCTGCGCAAAATGGCATATCTTTGTGAGTATCGTGGAGATTTTCAGGATACTCCAAGTCAACTTCGAGTATGTACCCAACAGGTGAATCGTCAGGCACATTAAAATCGAAGGAGTTGTCGACATTATCAACCCATTTGAAGCCGCCATAAGGGAGCGCTTGAGCCATTGCCCAGCCATATAAATTGTTGGCGTCAAAGTACATGATGTAGCTTGTATCTTTGCTATCATCGAAATTTTCCATATATCTATTATTCGCTATAGTATATCGGTTGCAGCATTGACTTATGCCACCTCTAATACCAGACTCAACAAACATAATCATATCGATATCGGTTATTAGTTGCAATCCTATGCTCGTGTACTTGAGCATAGCATCCCAAGTTAAACCGGGGGTCGTATAATAGTGAGCAGGATCTAACCCGTACGCTTTAACACATTCTTTTCGAAAATTTTCAAAGACATCCGCAAGTAACAATACATCTGTTTTCATATACAAATGTACATAGTCGTAGAGATTCTGACAGTCAAACTCGGTCCATACTTTCTGCGCATGCGCATACTCGTCATCAGAAATACCGGCATCATAAGCGTACTATAAAATTTCTCGATCGGGGGCAATTCTGTCTCATCTAACTTACTTTTCGAGTCAAAGTACTCATAAGGGAATACACCCTTGCGCGTCAATAATTAATTTTTTCCGGATCTGTCACCGTACTGGCAAAAACGGAGTTGACGATTTTGTACTCGTCTAGGTACGATGCGAGTTTCTCTAGAGATGCTGCCATAAATCGCAATGAGTCAATGAATCGAAATTTGACCTCACTCCCCTTGACATGTTTAGTAAAAGAGATATACTTCTCTTTGTTATGGGGAGGAGGTCAATTTTTCCTTCAAAGCTCGTCGAAATCGCGTGAATTATAAAATGGGCGTCATAGCCACTTAGGTTGTGAAATACTACGGGGATCGTTTGACAATCTTGATAGTTTAGATTGCACGATTCATGGGCAGCACCCCTATATTTGCCAGTAAGGTGACAGTGATCACGGACTTTCTTTTCGCTTGCCGGTATTTTCTCATTACAAATGTGACATATTGTCGCTCGCTTGAAGTCACTGATTTCTTGAGGAGTTAAGGCATTCATTGGTATCGGATTTTGAATACATTATCAATTTTTTCAGATAATTGCCTTAATTCCTCAGTAAACCATTTGGCAGGGTCGGATTCATTTTTCGGACATGGTACATATTTACATAATGATTCATCGTAGCTGCATTTTATATAATAGCCTATGCTTAACAATTTGTGACGCTGGAATACCTCAGTCTTACTTAAATTGTCTACATCTTCATCGGCGGGAAGAAGTAGACTTTCACAGTCAGCGTAAATTACATATGGCACCTTTTCTTTATTTTTATAATTTTTAAATGTAATCAGACTCTTGTCAGGTTTTGGTAACGTTACTTTACACTCATTCACTTTTTTACAATTTTCAATGTGTGCATTCAATCTATCTACAGATGAAAAGTAGTGTAAGCATCGGTCACAGATATGTTTTTACCATTTTTAGCAGACAATTGTTTCGAAACAAGATGTGACAAATTTTTTATCCATACATAATGGAAATTCATAAACCATCATCGTCATACAATGCATTACTGTCAACACTTTCATCCGCATACATGTCGGCAACATACAAGAGATTTACATGCTTATCTCTTTTTTTCCGCAGTGAGATGGAGAGGATGTGTTGAGAAGTCCCCATAGTATTTTGATAAACCATAGACATTAATTGAAATATCATTTAATTTTTCAAATTTCGGGACATTTTTTAACGTTACTGGGAAATCTATTCCGTCAAAATTTAACTCATTTTCAAATTCTTTATAGTTAGAAACACGATCACTTCTCACGACATTTGGATGTAAGGCTGACAGTACCGCCCACTTAAAGCACTCGTTATCTTTGTTTTGCACGTTAATACAGGCTTTCTTTCTTTTAATTTGTGAAGGTAGATCAATGTATGAGCTCGCACGCATTGGATTGTATTGTGTTTACATTCACTTCAAGTCTTATAATAGACTGAAGATTCCAATTTGATCCCTTTGCGTGAAACTCTTCTACACTGCGCAAGATTGGCTGCTTGATGTTCTCATCAAACCAATCATCTAAAAGGGTTGTGGGGAAGATGCTGTTAGCCTTAGTTCCAAACGGAATTGGCTTAGCTACTTCTCCTCATTCTCAACCCTTTTAAAGTTGGCAATGAGAACACCATACACCAAAATAGGACCATATTTGTTTATAGCATCTCTAAGGCGGTCCTGAAAAAGTCTAGACGCATCGTCTAAAAACGCGCTTATATCAATGTGCACTAGATTCAGAATCACATTAGTGTACAGTCTACACGCAAACGCACTCTCACATTCTTCCCAGCGAACACGTTTATTAATGTCTGGGTCACCGATTCCAGCGCCATCTACTACGTGGGACTCAAATAATGCGCGAAGTCTAATATGGATTGTAGAATGCTCACACATCTTTTCTTTTGATGTGTAAAGTACATCGACTTGAGAATGCTCGATAACACGTTTTCATGTTGTGAGCATTCTACAATCCATCTCCCAACGAATGAACGTCTTAAATTGACGTCGTCTAAAAGAGGAATCAACTCTAGAGCCTCCTTGATGAGAGTAATAGTTACGTCACTCTCGTCGAGAATAGTACCGTAATTCGGATACTTACGTGGTGGTCCATCGGTGGTCTTCGCCTTACGCTTCATCTCTGCACCTGAAATTAAACACTTACAAGCTAACAAAAAAGAATAAAGAACACACTTACAAGCTAACAAAAGAACACACTTACAAACTAAAAGAACACACTTACAAACTAACAAAAGAATGAACTTACAAACTAAAACTTATACTAAACAAAACGAACTTACAAATAAAGAACTTAACCTACAAACCAATACAAAGTAAATGCAATAAACACAGTAAATGTAACAAAAAAGACAGTAAAATATAACAAAAAAGACAATTAGTAATGGCAAGGGGAATCTGCTGATGCTGCTGCTGTTGGAACCGCTGAATCTGTGAACAGAACAGCTACTGACTAAACTCGCCAAATCCCTGAATATATACCCCGAAATCCCCACTCCTACCTTTCACGCATGCGCACTAGACCATTTACCCTCACTCCAACCTATCACGCATCCCTACTCTTAAATTTTCCCCACCTATTCACGCATGCGCACACTCTTACTCTAACGCAGTCGTAACAATTTCTATACAGGATACGCAAAATAAATATACTAATTTACAAAAAAAATAAAAATTTATTGATTATTAAAAATAAAATTCAGAGTTAAATTTAAAGTTACGCGCCGCCGTCGATGGCAGCGACGCCGACC